ATCATCATCAATTTCAAAAACCATTGTATAAACCCAAATTTCCAGATTTGGGGATATTTGAATCAAACAAGATTATCATGCAATATTGGTACCAAATGATAGTCTTTTTCCCATATAACACTTTTCTATCTTCATCATACTCATAATCCTAAAGAAATTGTTTGAAAATTTGAGTTGAAGATTTCTCACCCTTTGAAGAAGCCCACGTCTGGTTTGAAGAAGAAGAAAGCAAATTTGGATGAAATTTAGGAAACATTTCATCTTGATTAACATAATATCTCACTTTAAATGAATATAAAATTCATTTAATTGGGATAAGACCAAATCACCCTTAATGAATCTTCTTAATTACCATAAAACCAAGCCATCTGATTATTACAAAGTCAAATATAATTTAATTTGACTTTGACCTACGAAAATGCCCTGAAATTTTCAAAACTTGCGATTTAGTCACTAAATTCCACTGTTTCGGTTAAATCTGAAAATTTGCACACTTCCAGACCAAATTTCTTTGATCCAAAATATTAAAATAATATTTCCAACCATTTTATAACATCTTTCAAATTTTTATAAAATTCCAATTCGATCGGAATTTACCGATTCCTTACCGGCTTTAACTCTTTCTTTACTAAATTCCAAATCCAACAATATGATTTCCATAAAACTCCAATCTCAAGAGTAAACCATATATTTATGGAATAAAATTCTTTTTAGGAAATTATCACTTAATTCCCTAAACTTTTTTCCAATTTTCTACTTTGACCATCAAACTTTCCCAATTTTCATTTTGGTCATCGTCTAAAATTTTGGGGTATTACACCCCCTTGCCTTTGTTTTCTCTGATTTTTCATCCAAGGATGAACACACCGCCGCCTGGTTTCCAGATTCCGGCTGGTGGCCACCGCCTCGCTGCCGCTCATCGACGGCGGTTCACATCGAAACCCATATTTTTTAAAAGTATCTTCTTTCCACAACCCGAAAAGCAAAGTATTTTTCCAAAAATCCCCTCGGAAAAGCGTAGATCTAGAAAACAGGTTTCGAAAATGATGGCCTCACTTCGTTAATCGGTCGATAAATGCTTTTTGGGGTTCAAAAACTCAACAACAATGACATGCAAGCAACCATCAAAACGAAACAAAGGTAACAAAATTTCTACCTTTTATTTCTCAGATTCCGAATGACTTTACAACGCTTATTGTGCTTTGTGTGATTTTCGTGCCTATTTTGTGCTTAAATCTCCTCTGGTAATCATATATCCACTGTGTCCAATGAGTTTGATTACAAACATATTTATGGCCTAATATTTGGAGTGTTTGAGTCCTATTAAAATTCTAACTCCGTTATTTGTTGGCGGTGTCCTGCGAGATCCTTGCGCCGGAGGAATCGGAGTTGGTGGAGTGGGAGAAGCGTTCGGCCGTGGGGAGTTGAAGGGGAGAACGACGCTAGGGTTTCTGGAAACCCTAGCCTGTTGGTCATGTGCCTTGGGCTGCTGAGGCGTTGGGTGTAGTGTAGGACCACACTTGTGGACTTGTGGGCACCAATTGGGCCTGAAAAGAAAAAAAATGTAAGTAAATATATTATATAGAGATAAATATATTATATAATATAATTTAATATAAACATATATAACATAGTAACATTTGAAGGACAAAATTTAGTGTCTTCAACTATTAACACAATAAATTAACTATTTAAGATCATACAATGGCCACAAAAAGAAAATGTTAAAACCTTATCCTAAAAACTCGAGCAAAATATAGATACAAATAGATATGATTGCATTGAAAAACGAACCACAACAAAGAATCAAATTATTGAAAAATATCAATGATCGTAAATCATAGTTGAGTATCGTGAGAAAACTATCTACAAACACAAATCACGTATCCAAATTCAATACAACATTCCAAAGCATATAAGATCGATAAGAGAACAAATAAATGTCATCTTGATCAACTGATGCGACATTAAATCTAACAATAATACAATTAAAAAACAATCGATAAAGAAAATTGAAAGCGTATTAAAAGATAGAAAAATATATCATAAAGATAAAAAAAACATGATAAAGACAAAGAAATATATGGTCCATGGATAAGCCTAGAGTCGAGTGAGTATACCCAAATGTATAAAAACTTTGTAGCAGGCCCAACTCTTAAAAGGTCTAGCCGAGACCTGTTATATGGTCCTGTCTACAAGACCTGCTATATTGGCCTGGTCAGCTTGAAACCTCCATAGTCAACAAATATCATTTATCAATCTGATTCTGGATTTCTTGATTTTCTTCTTCTTTTTACATGTAAACTATACTGAATATCATTTACACCATTAATTTTTTTAAATTTTATTAGTTGCAATATTAAATTTTAATTTATATTTAGTTATATTATTCCATCGCCAAATCAATAATAAAATGATGATATAATTAACGGTTGTTAATATGGAATGCAATACTAAAATGACAGTCGTTTTAATGACAACTATTAATGTTCAAAACAACATCATTTTAAGCACTAAATTTTAAGTATATATCGATTTTTTTCATTGATTTTTCTAAATAAGTTACTTTTTTGACATTGCACTTTTTAACAAATTGCGCAATGCATCTAATACTTACCTTTTTATTCTATGATTGATTTTCAAGAAACCACTTAAAATCAATGAGAATCTATTTAAAAGTTCGACGTATGAACATTCCGTTCTCATTTAATGATTGTTCGATGAGTCTAGTTTTTATACATGTTGTTCGTCTTCTCGAAATAATATTTATCACCATTTATATTTTCAAACAAACACATTAAATCTCATAAATCTAAGAAACTCTCTAAACATCTAAAAATGATAGATTTTTGTTTAATTCGTCGAATTTAAGTAGATATTGTGTAGAACTAATCCTAGAATAAGAAAAATGATGAAATACAAATATTTTGGTATCGATTTTTTTGTTAAACACAATCAATGATGGGTTATCACAGACGATAGAAAATGCAATATCGAAAAATTAAATTAGTTAAATGTTAAATAATAATATTTATACCCTTAAAATTTAGTGTATAAAACGATATCATTTTAGTGTGACAGATTACGTTAATAGTTATTAATCTATTATTTTTCTATTAACGAGTTAATGATAAATTGATAAAGTTAAATGTAAAACTAAAACTAATGTTATAATTAACAACATTGAAAATTAAGTTATATAAATGAACGAACGAACAAAATTTATTGGTGTATAGTATAATTTAGGGTAAAGTATAGTAATGGTCACTGAACATTTCTGAAGTTTGCATTTAGGTCCCCTAACTTTTAAAACTTGCAATACTGTCCCCCAACATTTAATCCGTTTGCAATATGGTCCCCACACCTATGAAAATTAGGGTAAATTATATAAATGGTTACTGAACTTTTTAGGTACTTGAATTTAGGACCCCCAACTTTTAAAACTTACAAAACAATCCTCAATTTCATTCTAAACCACAAATTCCAAAGTAATTCAATTTCATTCTAAACCCTAAATTCCAAAATAATTCAATTACATTCTAAAACCTAAATTCTAAAATACTTCAATTTCTGTCTTTTTTATAAACGATGCCAATGTCACTAACTTATTAATTAATTTACTTTTTATATTTAAAAACATATGATAATTTTTTAATATTAATTTAAAGACATGAAAAATTTTCAATAGTAAGAATATATGATAATAATTCATTTATTTAAAAATAAATATATTTCTGATTATTTGTGTATGGTTTTATATCTAATCATACGTGTTAATATTTTATATCTTTCATATAAATATTAAGACTACATAAATAGCAGAGCCAAAATTTTATATATGAGTTATGTTAATTATAGTAATGATGTATAAATATATTTTATTTTTATATTATTTCTATTATAATTAAAATATAAAAATTACCATGATAATTAAATATTTATTTACTTATTACATCGAATATTTTTTGTAGAAAAATTATTTAATAAAATCATAAAAAACACAATAAAAAAATAAACACTGAAGTTGACTACTTCAAAAATGAAATTAAAAAATCAATAATTTAATATAATATACCCTAAGTTGATGATAACAATCAACTCAAGAGATGGAGTTTGTGTCATGTTTTCGTAACGTACTTAAACTTTCTATTTCATGGTCACATATTATTTTAGTTCTAGCACGATCTATTTTTTAATTTTCTAATACACTTAACAAAATTATATTATAACTCATTAAGTGATTTCATAGGTAAAAAATGTTATTTTCTTTAAAAGTTTTAAATTCAAACAATTGTGTTTGTAGGGTTTATCTATATTATTAATAAATTAATTTTTTTGAATAAATACTATCTTATAATCACATCAAACTATTAAAAAACTAAATTATAATTGAAATAAATAAAATTATAAGGATGTCAATTGGGGATTTTGATTCTTAATTTTTTCATTGAGAGATTGTGTTTTTTTATTCAATTTCTTCCATAGTCATTTTTTATATTTAAATTATTGAAGGTCACTAAATTTACATTTACAAGGAGGGAGTGTATTTTTTTTCTTCACAAAAGTAAAAAAATCAAAACGCTATCACGTTCTTAAAGATAATCTAGTATATTCCTCCTTAAATTGAAATATTTTAGAATTTGGGTTTTAGAATGTAATTGAATTATTTTAGAATTTAGGGTTTAGAATGAAATTGAATTACTTTAGAATTTGGGGTTTAGAATGAAATTGATGAATGTTTTGTAAGTTTTAAAAGTTAGAGGACCTAAATTTGAGTGCCTGAAAAGTTCAGTGACCATTTATATAATTTACTCTAATTTTCATAGGTGCGGGACCATATTGCAAATGGATTAAATATTGGGAGACTGTATTGCAAGTTTTAAAAGTGTAGGGACCTAAATGCAAGCTTTGGAAATGTTCAGTGACCATTACTATACTTTACCCTATAATTTATTTAAGAACAATAAAATTCCCGAAGTCAGGCAAAAATAGCTTGATAGCAGTAACAAGTAACAACTAACTCGTGGAAACTCACTCTCCAGAACAAACCCTAATTCTCCGTAAGTAATTAATCCCATCAGTTTTTTCTTCCAGTTTTCGTAGTAAAAAATATTCTATGGATTTTATTTATCTAATTTGTATTTTATTTATTTGATTGTAGCATTTTGAAGAAGTGGTTTTTGGTGATACAAGAAGATGCCAGACACCCAAGCTCTCGTCAATGATTTTCTTAACAAGCTTAAAAAACGGTGAAGTATTTCATTTGATTTCCATTTCATATGAATTTTAGAAGGAAAAAAAGTTAGGAATGAACTTTTTTTTGGCTTGTGTGGGGTGGTTGGGCAGTAAGATTGAGGGTTCACAAGCAACAGCGAAGCAGACAGCGGAACTTCTTCGTTCAGTGATTTCTCAAACACGTGTGCCTTATACGAACCAGGCTGCTGCTTTGATTCAATCGGTTAAAGCTGTTGGAGAACGACTAATTGCTGCAAATCCTGTCGGTATGACGACCTTTACCTTTTTGATTTCGGTCAATTTGGGTTTTCTGTTTATTTTTGAAAATTTGTGGTTTGTATTTGATTTCGGTTTCACTTATGCCTTGTTGCTTATAAGGAAACTGTTGGCAAATATTGGTTTAGAACACTTAAACATTTGATAATTATAGAAGTATGCGTAAGAATTGCAATTTTTTTTTTGGGGGGGAGGCACTGTAGTTATGTGCTCAATTCTGTTTGTCTTTTTAGCTAGGAAATGAGTAATGCGCCAGTGTATACCCCCTAACTGTAAATTGAACTGAAAATTTTAACCCCATAATATTTCCTTTGTGATGTCTTACATTTTATGATCCTGTTCAGTCCGACTAAAGAAGTTGAATTAAAAAGCAACATTAAAGTAAGTTTTTGGAAAAAAAAAGCATTGCATTGAATTAGTAGTATTTCTAATAGCTTGGAATACATTTGCTTTGTCTGTAAATTCCATATAAAATTATTGGCTTCTCATTGCGGCTTTTTCAGAATTTTAAGTTTTTATTTTTTTGGTTTAGTTACGAGGTAACATATTTTCGTGTCAGCACTGTTTTGTCTATCTTTGTCCTTCTGGAGTAGGGAAGTTGCTCAGAAAGTTGGGCCGAACATGCACTATAACTCCTAGTAATTGTTGATACTCGTGCTTTGGTATTCCATGTTAATAGTTTATGCATGTGATGGCAGAGCTTGCTGTGGGTAACGTTGTGAGGCGTGTTTTGCACATTATCAGAGAGGAAGATCTTTCTCTTACAGCAGCTGCTATGGCTGGAGTGAACTTGTCAGCAGTAAGTGACGATGAAGATGATGCTGATGGAGACAACCAACCAGTACTATCAGCTGCTGCCATTGCTGCTGCTTCTAGAAGCACTTTGCGTCCACCTTCCTTGCAAACACTACTTGAGGATGTGCCCGACTTTGCTGCAGTTCCTCATACTTCTTCTTCTGGTGGAGATTCTGAAGGAAAAAGCAAATGTGAACTCTTGCTCCAGACACTTGATCTATCTGCATTGCGATTGATGAATGAGATTTTAATTTTTCTGATATTCACTGAGATTATTCCTATCAAAAAAAAAAAATATTCACTGAGATTATTGTCTGGAAATGGCTAAATGTTGATTTATGCAAAACTGATTTCTTATGGTCATAACTGATAATCATGTGATATGAAATCTCATAGCATTATTATATATTATCTGAGTATTTATATTTAAGGGTTTTATTTTCCTTTGCAGCTGCTGACAAAAGTTCAAGAAGTCGGAAGCTGAAGCATGATGTCATTGAAGCAGTCAATGAACTTATTCAAGACATTAGCACTTGCCATGAACAGATTGCTGAGCAAGCAGTAGAGCATATACATCAAAAGTATCTTTTCTTACTGAAGCTTTTCTATTTTCTTTAGTTGTCTCTCAATTGTAACACTGCTTACTCATTGATTAGTCTTTTGAGCAAACTAAAATAATTATATCTAGTAGTCTAAGGTTATTTGAATTTACTTTAAACTAGAGACTCCTACTGTCTACCGCTCCTAACCCCCAAAAGAACAGTTCTCATTCCCAACCTTCCTTGTCTATGGTTGTCGTTTCGAGCAGTTTATTTTGTTTATTTTCCATGACTTGTCGAGGTTTGAAACACTTTGACCTGCATGTGTTCTCACATTGTTTTCTACGGTTCTGCCTATGATTATTTCTCACATTAACTTACTCTATAACTGATAATTTTTACAACATATTGTCAGCGAGGTGATATTAACTTTAGGCAGTTCAAGAACTGTGCTGGAATTTCTTTGTGCTGCAAAAGAGAAGAAAAGATCATTTCGGGTATTTGTTGCAGAGGGTGCTCCAAGGTTGGTACTAGTGGCGGAAATGTTTTACAAGACCAAGACATTTCCTTTAAGCTACTACACTTTTGACATCCTTCCTGTACCAATATTTGTTTTTTCCTCTTAATACTTGATGTTAACTTAGGTATCAGGGGCATCTTCTTGCAAAAGAATTGGTTATGAGAGGTTTACCGACTACACTAATTACCGACTCTGCAGTTTTTGCCATGATTTCCCGAGTAAACATGGTATGTGAAGTTCATCCTAATTGTTAATGATCTCTGGCACTGTTGGAGCTTCATATGAGATTTTGTAAACATGAAGGTTATTGTTGGAGCTCATGCTGTCATGGCTAATGGTGGGGTCATAGCACCTGTTGGGCTGAACATGGTCGCTCTTGCAGCTCAGAAGCATGCTGTCCCATTTGTTGTTCTTGCTGGCATTCACAAGGTACTTCGGCATAATGGCTGCCTGACCTCCAAACTTCTAGACATTTTTGTGCAATAACAAGTAAAACCCCTGTTTTTCTGCTTCAACTTAGATTAACATTTTGTGAACTTATTTATGCCTCTATGATGGTATGGATTTTATTTACATGGTTCCTTTTTTTAATTGGATGAGTTAATATTTGATCGCTTGAGGTGTCATTGCATGTGATTAATAGGATAGAATTTGAGAGGGCTATAATAGGAATTAGTACCGCATGGGGTTTGTTTTTAATTTGCTCTATCAGATTGAAGTTATATTGAATCAAAGATAAACAAACAACATGTTGGTTTGATACAGTTTTGTAGCAGTACAGGGAAATACTACCTACCATCACACCATAAGCATTGAAGATCTTTTGGTACCTGCTTTAGCCAATGCATCGGCCCAACTATTAGCTTCCATATATACATACATAAATTAAATACCATGATCCATGGATTAAATTCCCCCCCCCCCCCCCAAAAAAAAAAAATCTCCATGGTCTCAGCTTTGGGTTAGAACTCCTTGAAAAAGCCACCATCAGATCTCATTTACCTGACAGATTTGAGCACGAAGTGTGTGATGCAGAAGCATTATTATACCTAGTAAAGGGAGGTAAAGAGGGAATAGCATATGTTGGTTGACCGTGGGAGGGGGGAATCCCTGTGTTTGACACAGAAATTGAAGCCTAGCCTAGCCATAGGATATTCTTTTTGCTTTAAAAAATAGAGAAGGGAAGATTTGGGTACGTTCTACTGTCTGTCAGTTTCCGTTATATTTGGTGGGTCATGCTTACTAGTAAACCTTCCAATACTTGTTTTTTTTTTTGGGGGGGGGGAGTTCCCAAGTATTATTACCTCTAAGCCACCCAGATCTGCCCAAGGTGATTGGTGCTTGTTTGTTGCATGTTAACAAGGGAATGATCTAATTGTGCTGCATATATCGTATCTAGATTTGCATGCCAGTTAATTCATTAGTTAATTCTGTATGTTTGCTTTCTAGCTTTTCGTCACACTTTTTTTCCCTTGACACGTTCACCTTGTTACTTCCTTCAAATCTAGACATTTAATTTGAGAGCAAACTTTTAAATTAAGTTTACAGGCTTGAAGAATGAAATTAATAGGATCTAGTTCTTGAGATTGAGCTTCATTCCAAATAAATCAACAGAATTGCATAAAATGCCTGCTACAGCTGACTTGAGGATGGCCAGAGAAATGGCCAAAAAATTTAAAGGCACCCAGATGGTGTCGGTGCTTGCTGATGCAAAGATTATAGCATGGTTTCTGTTGTTGTCCCTGTATTCTTGAATTTTGCTTAAGCTCTTGCTTGTTTCGTGTTAATTCATTTGTGGTCTACATGACAGTTATGCCCCCTGTATCCACACCACCCTGAAGTGTTGCTGAATGAATTGCGTTCCCCATCTGAGTTGCTAGATTTTGGAGAATTCTCGGATTGCTTAGATTTTGGAAGTGGCATTGGTGCCCCTCTTCTTCATGTTGTCAACCCAACATTTGATTATGTGCCACCAAAGCTTGTTAGTCTCTTTATAACTGATACGTAAGTTCAACTGGACTTTGTGGAGTTCAAAAGTTTCATTAGCACTTCTGTTCTTTCCACTCATAATTGATATTTTACATCTGTTTTCTGTTTACCAAATCAATTACTTTTCTGCATTTGGAATATTATTGATCAGTTGATATACGTGGGGATGCACTGTAATGCATAGTCCCCTTTTCTAATTCACATTGATAAAAGATTTGCATGTATTTGGCATTGATGGTTTAGCCATTTTACGGTCTTCCTAGTTTTTTCTTACCCAGCTATCGCTGATTGCTTCATGTCTTACAGTGGAGGGCATAATCCATCATACATGTACCGCCTGATTGCGGATTATTACTCTGCTGATGATCTTGTACTGCAACGGAGAGCTACTTCGGGGAATTAAGTCTACAGTGCCGAGTTATACCAGTAAGTGCTTTTTCATCCAATGGAGAAAATGTTTGATTGTAGAGCTGCTGATTGCATAGCCAAATTTGATGAAATATTTCTGCATCTAAACTTTCAGATTGTTTGTGATGCCTGTACGTGGAGAAATGAATTTCAAGTCGGTGGAATTTGTTAAATCGTTGATACGAAAGTGTGGAATCAACTTTGGTAAAACTGGACCATAGCATAGAGAAGTCATTTTTTGAGAGATGTAGGACCCAGGAAATAGAAATGCAGTGGGAGAAAAGAGAGAAATGGAAGTGAAGGTAACATGTTTATCTTTTATATCGCCATGGAAATTCCTCAACATTCTACTGTATGAGAACTCACGCATGCATGGAACTATTGTTGTATTACTGTTGACTTGAAACTTGATGGGTGGTGGTACTTGAGTGGAGATATACCTCTTTTGCATTTTACTTCTAAATTCAGAAATTCCCACTTTACATGTTAAAAGAGAAACTATACTGGGGGTTTCCGATACATTTTGGTGGGCCTGGAATCATATTCTTATGAATTCAGTTAGATTCGCCCATATTCGGATAACAACTAATCATATTTTTTTTTTTAAAAACGAACTTTTTTTATATTAAATATTCTATGATTTAAATAGAAGAATAGGTCGGCGACCGTTCTTGTTCGAGTACATTCGACAATCCTAACCCTCCATCTTTCCGGCTTAGATCAAGCTGTCATTGATGCTTTACCTATTTTTCATTACGAAGATATTGGTGGTTTATTTAAATTTCCATTTATTTTTTATTCTATTTTTTTGAATAAGAAATCTAAAAAAAATAAATTCAGACAAGACCGGGTGAAATTTTTAACCAAAATAATCAAATTAAGTTTCAGATTGGGTAAGATTCTACTAAATTCGGATCGGGCTGTTTCAAGGTTAAAAATATATTATTCTTGATTACGTTAAGGTGATTATAAAAATGGTATATGTTCAAAATATTTTTCATTAATTTGATAATGAATAGGTACGTTAAATCTTTTGATAATGGTCGGTGTTTTTTTATGACAAATATAGTGGTCATGTTTATACTTGTATAAAATTCAATTATTATTATTTCATATTAATAAAATTGTGATACACATATGAACTAATGCTGCCCCAAATGAACAAAATGCGTTGTCATTCATCTCAAAGGAACATTTGACGTACTTAATGTTAGTTCATCTCCCAAATCACAAAAATCCAAGAAAAGAAATCTGAACAGAGAGTGTAAAGAAAATAAAACTCTGATGAATCGTAACCAGATGGCCAAAAAGAATTTGTTTAGAAATGTTTAGGAGAAGAAGTAATAAAAATTATACTTCACTTTGGGTGTACCCAATTCCGTTAAAAGCTTTGAAACTTTCTTCGAATAACTAGCAAACCCCCCATTTCATCTTTGGCTTCAAAGAATTAATTTTTGTGTTGTTTTATTTTTTTATTTGTTTGCAGCTGAAAATTCTGCAAAATTCAAGCCTTGGGTCATCTTGTTTCCAACCAGATCTGTTTATGTTGAAGCTTCAATAAGATCATTAGCTTCTTCTTTTTTTAATTGGATTGCGATGGATTTGGATGATTTCAGATCAGTTCTTGAAACAGCTGATGTTGATGTGTGGACATTGATTGATACAGCATTTCTGGCAGCTTCTTTAGATCACGGCCAAGAAGTGAAGCAAAGGAGAGACTCTATTCTACTTCCATTGTTAATGGTTGTAAAGCCTTCACTTGATTAGGTGAAGCCAAGAAGTCTAAAACCCAAGAATGCCTTCTTTGCAAAAAACAAGGCAAGTGGTTCTCAAGGCAGGCACTGGTGAGTGATTGGGTCATTGCTCATTGTATTAGATAGGGTTACTCTGCATATATCTTTCCATGTTAATGGTGATTAGGTGAATAATTCAGCTTAAAGGCAATCCCATCTTGGGGTTTTCATTATTTTTCTCTTTATTAGGTTATTCTTCGTGTTCATGGAGATGTACTGAACTATCTGAAATTTGATTGATGAATGTAATTTTTGGAATATTTTATGACAATTCAATTTTTTTAACTCGTAATATAAACATGTGACCGACGTACAGTTGTGGGATACTCTTAACTATTTGACTATGAACATTCAATCACCCTACGACAGTAGTTGGTACTCGAACTCGTTTTCTCTAAAAAGAACAATGATTCTTTTAACTACTGAAGTAAGTTGTTCGTGCTCCACAACAAAATTTATATGCACATATGCATATATTGTTACATTCTTGAAACAGTCAACTTCTTTATACGAGAAGAATCTTAACTTTATTGCTACTGTCAGAGGGATTAAAGGGAGTTTGCGTAGGTTAATCAATCATATCAAATGCTATCCCAACACTTCCTTATACATATTTTTGGCACATATTTAAACGTAAATTAAAGAATATGATGGTATTATGACTTCCATAACTATCTATATTCATTGTACATATCTCTATACCTTAGATCCATGTATTCTGTACTCCCTGTGGCTCGGGCGTTATCTGTACATACCCATGACGTTTTCCTTTTATTTTCATAAAGTAGATGTTACTTTCAACTTTTTAATAATTTGATATATACATATATTATTCAGATCCATAAATTAGAAAATCTTGAGCGTTTAAACATACTAGATCTCATATCCTCGAACGACAATACCTATATCGGAAACTAACCAAATCCGAGAAACACAGGAAGTGACAAATATATCCAACTACGGAGACTTATTGACAGAGTTGAGAATGTGGGATATATAGCAAGGTTTAAGATTAGATGACATGACACACGTAAACCAGTTGTCTCCAGGGAGTACGACAGAGGATAGACAGACAGCGCAATATCTAGACGACAGATAAATATAACTAACATAGATTTCAAACACAAGCACCTTTAAAGTTTTTGTGTACAGATGCAGATAAAAAATGTCCACGGAGTCTTGAAATGATAATGTTTTAAGGCTCCAGGTCTTGCCACCAGTTAAGCCAAAGATGGCTCCATGATAAAGCTTGAGATGATCAACTCAGCTGACAAAAAAGAAATACCTTTTGGAATTACCGGTATATCTGTAAAATACTTGAAAGCAGACAATTAACAGTTATAGAAATGATAAAGGGAGAAATTACCTTTAGAAGAATTTCATTGAGAGGCCTCAACCTCAGCTGCTCCACCATCTGGCTGCAGGCCCATAGGTTGATGCGTTCTCACAAGTATCTAAGCAATGGCTGTTAAATTGATCCAGATGTCGGGAATCCATCAGTGGGGAAAGAACTTCTGATACCCGTGTGAAAGGTTTTGTCTAACTTGTGAATTGTCTGATATGAAACCAATCAGTGAGCTCATTAAACCCGCAGATTTAGGTTCAAATGAGAACTTTGAGGAAGCAGGTGATTCAGGTGTCTCGGTATACTTTCTCGACAACTCCAGAGGCCTATGGAAGAGTAAATGAGCAACAGTACGGTCAATAGGATTGGTCCCAGTTTCTGGATCAGGCATCCTGGAACATTTATATATACAAAGTCGATATAACTTCAACAAGCATAAAAAGCTGCAATAAAGGTTGAAAGTAGGTATTTTAGGTCAAAATAAAATGCTGTTAATTTCATGGAAAGAACCTGGAAAGTTCAGAAGAACAGCTTTTAAAAATGATATAATATAAATATCAAGAAATTAAAACAAAATAAAACCACATTAATGCTTTTGAGTTTATATGAACTTCTAGGAAAGGAGCAAATAATCCATAAAGACAGAGTAAGCATGTATCATTTTTAACTTACATGAGGATAAACGCCCTGGCTGTTGATAACATGAAGTTAGTTTTTATGTTGTTTCAACTCTTTATTTTTCTTGAAATACTCGGACCTAACCATATTCGAGCATAGGTATGGGGTCATGAGCCTCCAAAAACCCTCCAAATACATGGAAATCTCAACAACAACAACAAAAAACGTGGAAACTCTCACTAGAATCCCAGGACATACGTTTTAGCAAACACTAGCTAGTAGTGGGGAAAGAAGGTGGTTGAATTTTGACAATAGTTCCTTCCCAAAATATTGTAATGAAATGGAACAGTGCAGATGAAAGGTTTCAGCTAGACACAGTTTCATTGTTTTATTCATTAGGATCTAGAATTCTAATTCTCAAACTCTCTAAGAGAATATTCTTTGTCATAAGTGTTTAATAGTGACAAATTGTTATGAATGCGCGAGCAGGATTGTATTACGGGGCGACTGACAGAAAGTCGAAGTCAGTTGTCTTCCCTTTATCTCAATTCCTAGGACAGCCTACTGTGATTGACAGTTCAGTTCATCAAAGGCAGATTGAAACCTTATGACTCGTTACAGAGAGATTCTGATCTCTAGGTTTTTCTTTTTAGAAATGCTAATTAGGCTTTATTATTCAATGTATCCCTTTAAATAGAGATTTCAATAATTAAATAAAGTTCTACCAAATACATCCTCTACTGTAAGAGTCCTAAACAACTACTACTAAGCGTCCACAACAATACTCCCCTATTGGGAAAAGAGCTGTCCTCAAGTTTGAAGCGAGGATACTTGACGATATAATCAAGCAAGTTCAGTCAGAACTTCAGTTTTTGGTTCTACATCATTCTGATCAGCTAATTTCAAAGAGTACATTGATGCCTAACCATATTTGGTTCATCACAATCATAACAATAACTCTTCATCATTGTTTCCGTCATTTCTGCCCTTATTAGTATTTCTAGAGGAATAGATGAATTTACCAAATCTGCTTCAGTAGTTTCCCTTTATGTATTGTTGCCTTCAAAATGTTGGGATGCCAAGACTATCATATCAGTAGGAGAATTGAAATTGACTTCATTTCCTTGACAAGTTCCTCTACGGTTATTTCCGACATTTAGTATTAGCTGTTTATGTTCAAAAGCTCCAGTGATGCTGATAGCCACAGCTAAAATAGGAGGTTTGTGCATTTGAACATAAAATTGAATGGAATCATCCAGTCTAGCACTCTAGCTATGAATAACCTAACATGTTGGTCTACACCAACGTCATGAATTGTCCTGCTAACTTTCCTGAAAGTATCGCTGATAAGACCCTAAAGTTTCTGTTTGTTTAAAACTAACCAAATATCCAACGGGGTTGCTGCCTACTCAAGGACCAAAATGAAGAGAGCTATAATGGCGGAATTCAATTCATCAGTCACCCCTCAAACTTCATCTAACACCACCAAAATTGTGCCTTTCCCAACATGTGAAAGGTTGCCAAACCTACCTTGTTTGCCTCATTTGTGCAAGATCTTCAATTCATCAACCTAAGGGGAAAGAAAGGGAAAAAAGATGTTTCTATTGATATTTTTCATCTACACTCAAAATACAATGATACCTCCATAAGTCGAATTCATCCATTAATGGTGCAAACCTTAGATAATCAAATGC